TTCAAATATGAACGAACGATGAAGGTAATGTACCACGTGATATTGAAGAATAAAATAAAAATATTGATGTTCAGATACAGTGGCAGTGTATTTGTCTAATAAAATTTAGAACATGAATCACACGAAGAATGATCTCACTGGAAAAATAAAATAAAAGGAATTCATGCTGCGAACTATAACGTAATATCATAGTAGTTTGTACTTTTTTCGTTATCCTTCTACCTAGAACTGCTGCATTGTCCCTGTATTGCAAATAGAGTAACTAGGGAATTAAGTCTGTCACCGTACATTTTCGTCATAACAACGCTCTTAAATATTCAGAGATCCGCATCTTAAAATATTTATCAATTCTTCAGCAAATATTATTTCTCGTATGGAATTTCATACATTTTGCTGATAAAAAATATTAAAAAGCAATATTCTTAAATAAACATAAATTTTCTTAAATTATTTAATAATGAATAAATACACAAATATTCATAAAATAAACGTCATAAATTCTATATAAATATTCATAATATTAATTTATAAATTTATACAATATTATACAATACAAATAATACGAATTTATACAATATTTATACAATATTACAATATTACAAAGCAAATGAATCCAATCATAATCATATATTAAAAAGAATCAAGATTTCAAAGTGAAATATATTTACTATTAATTTATGAATTTATAAATTTATACGTCACAAATATATTGATACAAATAAAAATTTTAATTAAAATTTGAATAAATCAAATAATATTAATAAATTGAAATTTTAATGTAAATAAATTCATACAAAAACCACAAAATAATAAAAATCAAGATTTCAAATTGAAATATATATAACAAAATTATTTTAAGAAAAACCAAGTATTGGGAATTCAAATATTTCTCTTACCCATTTCACATAAGTACATATTTTTGTTAACTCTCTACATTCATTTGCTTTCCACTAAGTCCTCATTTCGTCATTTTCTGCCTCAATAAATCTTTTTCAAAGACATACAATTGTATTCAATCCTGCCCTTTCCTCTCAATTTCCCTTCATTTAAAAGCTATCATTTCCTCTTCGAGTAACAAATCGAGATCAGAATAGAATTTTCTTTTTTTCTTTTTCACCACAAACGCGGATACTGGTTCATAATTATCTGATTTTTAACAACCTCTATTATTATGAAACAAGTTTTCCATTTTTTGCACCGAAGCATAACCTGAAACTGGATATGTGGAACGTTTTCTACATTATCTATCACCATTTTAAAATATAACGCATTTCAAATCTATAGCTTTTCATTTATGGACGATTCGAGTGGAAAAACCATTCCACTGGATGGTCTGCAAAGGAGAATAAGAATTCGACAATTTCGTGTATGGAGGTAAGTGGAGAAAAGTTGTCATCGTGAATGTATAGACGGAATCAGTTGAAAATTCGATGTCACGTGAAATTACTATCGCCACACGTGAATAAGGCGAGTGTATTTATGTTAGAACTTAAAGAGGTTATAAAAATATTCTGATATAGTATATTTTTATTGCATTTGAAAAATTATTACACTAAACTATCAATATAATGTAGAATTTACTTATTGTACTTATAGTACGACTAAGACTTCGTGAACTTTAACATTTTATACTTATATAAACACATTTATAGGTGAAACAATAAAGCTCGCTTTGGACGCACAAAAAACTCATGTAGAACGCGTAATCCACGAATTTAATCTTACAATCTGTTTCTGAAAGGTGTGAAAATTCTTTGTTGTACAAATGAAAACGGGATACGCCAGGGAAAAATAAAATTTAGAAGAATAAATACAAAGTGCTTTAGAAATGAATATAACTATGTATATGTGTATTTCGTTCCTTTTTATATATTTTCGTTATGAATCACACTTTCACTAGAAAATATTTTTTACTACATTTTTCTATACTAATGTATTTTAGTTTACAATTTCTTTTGCCTTAATTAAAGTTCTTATTTATTCTTATTTTTTTTTTTTTTCTTAAAATTTCTTTAAACTTTTATATTAATTTTTTCATTACTAAATTTTTCTGCTATTTCTATTGAAATTTTTTCTTACTAAAAAGAATTATTAAATACTCGTATTATCTCAGTTAAAGAATTCATTAGGCATTTTGTATTTTATAGACAACTAATTTGCCACCCTCTAAAATTTTGTTTTTAATAAATTTTTAATATACTGAAAAATAGTTGAGCAATTTTCAACACACGTGATTTAAATTATTAATATATAACTTCATTTGATTTGCAGAAATTTTAAAGGAATTTAAAGTATCTACTTCAAGAGAAATAAGTATCACCTAGTGTTAATTAAATTAAGCACACTTTAAGCTGAGCAGATTGCTCTTTTAATTTAAATTCCAGTAAAGCGAGGCATTTATTAATTAACAATTCCTTGCACGCTTTTCCACTTTGTGAATTTAATTCCGACGTTCCTATTATTTGTATCTCCTGGTCATATAATCTAGTCTGAAAATATATATAATATAACGTTGAGAAACACATTCAATTGGGGTTAACTTAGTAACAGCGGAATAACGCTATAAATTTTTACATAAAAACTATTAAGTAAAATTAATAAAAAATTATTCAAGTAATACCTACTTTTGTAATAATACGTGCGAAATTGTATTAAAGACGACAATTCTTTAATAAGAAATTAACAAATCACTTGAATACAAGACGAGAAAAGACAAATCATTTGTGTGAATTGTGTATGTTCATGTAATCTTTTACCTTCTGCTGGAATAGTATTTTCTTTAAATATTAGTTAATTGATACATAATATTATCTTCGATTGTTGTTCAATTATTAACTTACACATAATATAATTAATTTGTACTAATATATCTTTCACGTATTAATTAATTATTAATTATGAACTCTCCAACGACCAAGGAACGGTATTAAGTATATACAAAGCCGCATACAACTCGCAAGTCTCAGTTTGAACAGCTTTGTAACATTACAATAGTGTAACCTCCCCGTGGAATAAATATGTCACAGTTATAACTGGAAATGGGTTTCTCGAAACATAGAAGCCTCGAAATTCCTTGAAACCTGTGAAACTTTCGAATTCTGAAAATTCATAACTTTTTACTTCACGGAACTCAGATGAGGAAAAATATGATATCGATGAATAAAAAATCACAGTGTGTGTTTGGAATATTCAATTCATGTGCACCCTACAAACTCAGTGCAAGATGCTTCGTAAATCCTTAGTGATTGGTCTTTATCTTTGAAAGTATGAAAGGCACCTTTTATTCCAAAAATATAGATATAAGCAGATTGGCTAAAATCTAATAAAATCCAGGAACTACCTTTCAACTCACCCTAACTATAATAAAACGATACTGACACTACTAGAAACTACATTTTCATCAAATGAGTTAATCAATAATCATTTTAATGAAATCTCTGGCAAAGAATTTTAGGCAGACCATCTGAAACAGCAGACCTCGGGGTCAAAAGACTTCAAACATTGACTATGCTGTAGAAACGAGAAAATTATTCCGTATACCGACCAGAACAACTGACTTGTGCTCTAGAAGTAAGGAGAATCGTGCAAACATCTGTTGGAGAAACAGGCAGATTGGTTCTAATGACCACAGACATCGACTGTTGTCGATCAACGAACTCAACCAAACTATACTACTCTAATGCAATGGACTTTGGAACTTTGGCTTGAACAGCGGGCTTATTCGGGTGGTCAAACGAAAGGAGCAAAGGGCTCCTGTTCCCTCTTGCTCCATCTCTCAAGCAATCTATCTGACCAGGTGTGGTTTAAGTCCCTGATATAAATTATACGAAAGGAGTATAGGCACACTAATTGTCTTTACAAACTCTTGAGGACCATTGATGGTAGAGTGATCGATGAAACTGAGTGAAAGAGAAGGAAGATCAGGAAATTATGATTTTGATTCAAATAATAAAATTGATTAAAGAAAAGAATTTTTCGAGGCTGAATTCTGCGAAATAGAGATATCTAAAACGTCATAAATCGTCCATCTAAGAAAAGCGATCTTTTTCTCTGTAAATGGTCCTCCTTATCGGAGAACGGTTTCAATATCTCAAACCTCTTTTCGGCTCAAACTGCCTTGATCGAAAAAAGCTACTCGTCGAAATTGGCCATCTACCGACAATCTATTGGAAGAAAAGATCGTAAAGTATATCTATTGAACAAATAGTGTTTTTAAATTCAATATTTAAACTTCAAAGGTTTAAAACTAATAGCTTTAAAATTCAAAGTATATTTATGGAATAAATTAATTATTATTAATACCATTTCTGATATTATTTGTAGTACTACTTATGGTACTATTTGTTAACTTGTATACTACTTATTAATCTTATCATTTGTTAACTCATAAATAATGATAAAAAGTTCAGGTAAAATACGCTATTTATACAGAAAAAGTACCTTTTTAATGTTCCCAAAATGACGTTTTATTTATTAATATTAAGTTACATTTATTATTATTTATTTATATTAATATTATTATGCATATTAGCAATAATATGCCTCAAGGGAGATATTTGTATTAATATTATATGTGTGTATGTGCTTTTATCTTCTTTGTATAAATTTCGTATTTCAATACATTGAATATTATTAAAACGTGGTAAATACACTTATATGATATTCCGACTCTCCAATTTCATGTGTTTAATATCTCGAAAAACGGACCATTAAGCGTATTAATACTAAAAAATGAAACCAATCAAACGTGAATATCCGCAATGTGGAAAAATATTTCGTCCTAATTTGATATTCTGATCGAAGGCTATCCATATTTCTAGGGAATAATGGGAATTTTTAAATTTCAAATTATTTGAATATTTCTTATTTTAATAACTCATCAATGATTAATTATCTCAAATTGTTACAAATTGCGATATAAAATATAAATTTATCATTGAATTGATTAAGAGCCATAACCACTGAAAAAAAAATTCTAACAGAATTCTTTGTATTTTCAGATTACTCTTGAGCGAAGGACATCTATTCGAAGAATAAAAGGCGCTTATGGGTATCTAAGTATATTGAAAATTCGACACTTGGTAAGTAACCATAACTCACTGCATAAAAATTAGATCTGATAGAAACTTGAATGTAAATTAATTTTGCAAATGTTACACAAACTCGTCTTTAAAAACATGATAATACTGGAAACAAGATTTACAATACAAGTCTTCGTAAATCCGACATTTAACAGTCCATTCCATAAAACCATTTCACACAATTTCCAACGAATAATTGTAAGATATTTCTTTCATATATATTTTGCATTTTAAGCATTTGATTCTAGACGTAAATTCAATACTCGTAACATGGTGATGAGTTATTCAAATATTATAAATTTTTATTAAGGTTTTTATTAAAATTTCTATTAAATATAAAACATATTCATTAAAGCAAGAATAAAATAATTATTTCTTATTTTTCAGTTTCATTTATTTATGATATATTTATAGGTATTAAACAATACAAATAATATCGGGAAACATTTGTAAATACTCGAAGAAAAGTTAATGTGCATCTATACTTTTATTTTTCGAGATCATGCTCAAATTAAACAGAAACAGAATGTACATATGTATGACAGTAATTAAGTACATTGTACTCTTGGTAAAACCAAGCTGTATACCATATTATCAATAATATTTTCTGAAAACCCGAATAGTAATACATTATAATTGTTTTAGTTTAATGACTTATGCGACCGTGTCGTTCAGATACAGTAACAGCGCATTCGTCGAATAAAAGCCAAAGAAACCAAGAAGTAAATCATATGAAGAATGATCTTACTCAAAAATATATATAAAGTGAAAAGAAAGGTATGAAATGTCAAGTAGGAAGATCGAAGATTATTTCATGGAGCCTTTCATTTTCGGCAAACACAGACACCGTTTTCACAATGACCACCTTTGCGACGTTGAGCCAAGCATCTGAGGGCACACGCAGAGTGATTGACACTCAACCATTGCGATTGCCATGATAAAACGTCACACGTTACTCTGCGATGTCGAATTGGCGCCACTTCACCCGAATCATCCCTTGCTGCCATTTCTACGTTCAGCTTGTCATTAGTCTCTTCGATCGGCTCTAATAAAATATTTTGTTGTTCTATTATAGCAATAACATAAAACATGAATTCTTGAGGAATTCTGAATGTTCGTATATAAACGCAAATGTTTTATAATTAACCAAATTTAATTTTTTAGAAGTAAATATTTTTTTAACTTAATTTAATTGAGCATCTTTTATCGATTAAATGAGAAAGAAAAATATATTGTATGTATTGTTATTACCATAAGAATTTTGAATATAGATTTTAAGTATTATAACTCGATAAAAATATATAATATGAATCTTCGCAAAATATAAGAAGATGGAACGAGAGGAACAAATATTATATGTAATTAAATAATATGTATTAAAATTAAATCTACTTTCGCTATATTTGAGTTGAAGTATTTTATACTAATACATTGGTAAATATGAAACATAAAAGTTTTAACCCTAGACCAATTAAAATAAAACTTTCGGCTCTTTCAATTAATGAAAACATGCAATTTTTACAAAACTATTGTCGTCTTTTATTAAAATAGAAATCTAGCTATATTCATCTATTTATTTCCATCATGTCTTTTTAGTTATTATTATTTCTATACACTACATTTAAATACACATTATAAATTGCTAAGTTCAGTGTTTAGCACAGTCACAAAAATATTCGAACACACTAATTCTTCGTTTCCATCCTGTCTCTACTACAAATATATTCTATATTAACTATACTCCTTCATAATACAATACAATTTTTGCATCCCTTGCCCCATTTTCTTTATACATTTGTTTACAACACAAAACATGGAAGTCAAATTATACTTATATCAAAATACTTTTATCACTAACTTACAAACCCAAAAATATAATTTATCTTCTAACTTAATAATAATTTAGGAATGCTTAAATAACGTAAATAAGTAACTTACGTAATTCGTAAATTGTATCATCATAGACTCCTTCTGGAATGCTCGCGCTGGAGACGTAAGTAATGGTAGCTAGTATACCAACGAGGACGAAAAGCTTCATGTTTCTTCGAACAAAGGTCGATGCAGAATTCGTGGATAAAATCGTGAAAGCTCCTATGCTCTAACTAGAGACTCTAAAATTGATTTACGTTCGAATGATGATAGAAGGCAGACAGCTGGCTTATATACTCTGCTAAATCGTGGAACACGATCTTCCATTGGCCCGATTCCCTTTTTCCTTATCCACTTCCGTACGTAAAATATTCTGCTTACAATGGAAACTTACTACGTAAGTTTCATGGATACAAGCTTACTGAATTTCGTTACTGAAAGATGGAAATATCACGTAGCTACAAATGTTACAAGGGCTGTTGAAAAAAAGAGTGCAAAGGAAGGGTTCTTATACAATTTTCAATGTGCAAATTAATATACATATACGTGTTTTTGAATATTCCATTTCATTTTTCTGATTTCATACATTTTCATTAAATATTCTTAAAAAGAGATGCAAAATTACAACTTACACCAAAAACATTAATTTTCGAATCATCATCAAGTATTTTCTATTCCTCTTGGCATACATTAAGAACCTAAAGTTTTAAATCTATTTTTTCATCGCTGCATATGATTCTTTTATATATTTGTATGTATATTATCACAAAATTAACGTAAAAATAAATAAATATTTACTTATATACGCTCCCACTTTAAATTTGATATTATAGTAAGAATTATTAAAATACCAGAGATTTCGTTTCTAATTAACCTGTTAGCCGGAAATAATAAAGTAACTCGTCACATATATCATCAAAGATTTTGACGTAATTTCCCAGCGATTCTTTATCTCTTGACGCTTTCTTTCGTGCGTATGAGATACATATTAGATCACACTTTCATTTCTTTGACTTAAATCAAGTTAAAAAAAAAAAACAATAAAATCGCTGAAATTAAATAAAATTAAAGTCGACCCAAATAAAACGAATTCTTCCTTAGAAAATTTCAGGTCTCAAGACTGAAAATTTCAGCCTCCAGAAAATTTTAACTGATATATGACACAGTTAATAAATTAAGAAAATATCGAAATTTCAATGAATGAACAAATTATTCGATCTACCAAATAATAATGTGGGATTATATTAATAGGGAGTAACTAGATTTTAGTCGTTTATTAGTTAGAAATTTAGTATTTAATAAAGAGCAGTTCTAAATGCTGAACAGTCTGGTACTTTTTAATAATTTAGGGAAATTAGACTTCAACATTTAGGACTTGTCTGACAATGGGCTCACAGGGATTGGGGTTAGATCATGTGCTTCGGATAAACCTGATCTTTCTCTGCCTTAAACCGAGGGTAACGCAGCTGCGGTCGCGGGAAGATTCAATGGCGTGCAGGTGAACCTCTAAGGGCCTCACCCTGAGGGCAAGGTTTCCTCCACCATCGACCTAGGCATGGAGGACATTTCTTCTTCTGTTGGAGGTCACCGATTCCCGGACCAAGAGCATACCCTTAAGTGTAGTCGTAGAGTAGAGTTGAATGAAATCTACCTAGAGTATAGTCGAATCTAAAGAATAGTACGAGTGTCGCGAACGATCAAGAGTGATCTTCTTGTAAATAAACTTGTTATTGTTATCAAAGAAGCGTCTATTCCCTCTTAAACCTCCAAACCGTTATCTATGGGCGATTTAATAAAGATAATCGCCTGCAATAATTTACATGGATCGAAAACGATAAAAGTTTCTATTATTTGTCCAGCACAATCTGGCATCAGAATACTTTGTTATCATTAGATATTTCCACAAACTCATAACCAGATCACGAATCGATTTTTTCGTCGATCCAAAGCCAGCGAAGTTTAATCTGACAGAGTTCGAGATATGGCGTGCTTCAAATTTGTAGCCCCTTTGTATGCAGAAAAATCATTCAGCTCGATGATCCGCGAAGAAAACCAGAAGTTCGCTGATTCTGTTGATAAAAATAAACCATGTATAATAAATCAATATTGTGACGTAGGAACGAACTTTCGAGGATCCAACATCTTCAACGTATGCAACTATCAAACTTTCCAAGTTTTCATGCTCATCTATGAATGTATAATAACATTTGTGGATGCATTGGTACGTGTAACGAGTAACGAAAGTACTCGAACGTTATATTTCAAGGGAATATATTTATTAACCCAAAAATTCTCATTTTAATGAAAATTTGGGTATTTTTTGACCCCAAAATTCTAATTTCAATAAATTTATTTCATTAAAAATGAAAATATGTTACTGTGTTAATTTCTCGACAAATTTTGTTACTTTCGATGAAACTTCGTGTTTCCCTGTAGTGAAATTTTTCATCCGTGAAATACCGTTTAAAAAACGAAAAAATTGCTATAACTTCGATTATTGATTTCATTCCCTCAAAAATAATTCCTGCCTACAAAAAAGTCACTCTATGTGTAACCCGTTATATAGTATTTTGCATGTAAGCGAACATTCATTGAAATCGGTATTTTTGGGTAAAAGAATTCCTTTACAATATTAATTCGAATTCTTTCGTTACTTTCGTCAATGTAATTTTAAACTAAATAAACTTTATTCTTAATAAATAATTTAATGTAGAATAATTATTGATATACTGTCTGCTTGATATTAATAATTTACTGCATAATAATTTAACACATTTAACGATTTAATATAGAATAATAAAAGTTACACATTAATACAAGTTATATTATGTTCTTTTATGATTAAAATTCTATTTTTGATGAATTTAAAAAAAAAAAAAGGAAAGAAATAAATGAATTAAAATTCTATTGGAATTTCTAAATATTTCAATGCAAAAGATGTCAAAAATCTATGTACAATATTTGTACATGAATGTTTATATACAAAATAATTATTATCGATATAAGAAAGCAATCAGCTGTGAAATAAAATATTTATTACGAATATATGAAATATTCTTCTAAGTTTTAAACTTTAATTCCTATCGACATCCGATATAACATACACACAGATACATTTCCAGCAAAATAACAAGAGTTTACTTCCGGTTCACAAAAGAGAATATCGACTCATATCGTTTGAGCTGTATACATACTGCGAGTATGTTCGCGCAATCCGTTTTTAACAGGTGAAATGTAGAACATTAAAGGTAAAGCTACATTTTGCATGTTCTACTCTCTCTTAATATTTAAAAACTTTCGAATAAAAGGAAATTACACTCTGGCATACTTTACCTTGAGAAATCTATTAAGAAAAAATACATTTATTTATGAATTACCAATAAATTTATTGCATTATTAATTATTATAATAAAAATGGTTATTATTTATTAATAATATTTAAATTATAAATAATTTATTTATTTTGTATTACTCACATTAAATTAATTAATTATATGTTTTATTTAGTTATATAATATATTTAGATTATAGTACCGTTGATAAGAACGAAATGGAGTATTCTGTAGAAAATATAATTGGAGTCCACATAAGGACAAATTCAATTGAACGAAAGAAGAGAAAATGTGGATGACGAAATTGTCAATAAAATACTTTCGCGCTAATTAAAGGAAAATTTCGTTTGTCAAATACAGCATTGAATTTACGTCTTTCACAAAATACGATCGATTTGTTCAATTATTTCCATTAATTTGATTTTCATCGAACAGTTTGATGCAATAATAATTTTGACTTCAGAGGAAAAAAGTTTCTGAATAAGTGATAAAAGAAAGAGGGAAATACCTATGTGAATCACGAGTATCCACTTCATTGGGATAAACGTGATTGATCACCTGGAACGATCACGAATAAATGAAATTTCCACTTTTAGGAATGAACATCATGTCATATCAAACATAAATATCACATCATGTCATATCACAGTATTTGCACTCTAACTGACTTCGAACAATTTTTATTTTCTTAAAATGGAACTAAAATACTATAAAGCGCAGAAAGAATATAATTCCACTGAATTAAATTTACAAAAGAATAAATTGCGCGATATAGCAACTAATGAAATTTGAAATCCATAAATTTTTAATTAAAGTAAATCTAAATTCGTTATTCGTTATTACTATTATGCATACATACGGGATTTGTATACATCTATTTTAAGACATAAGAACAAAAATTAAAAAAGCATGTATTTTATTATTCAAAAATTCTCTCATCCGAACACTTGTGTCTGTTAATTAATTCGAATAATCGAGGTTCTACGGTGCTTGTAACTACTAGAGGATTAATAACGAAATGTTTTGTTCGCATCCAGATCAGAATTTCTAAACCAAAATGAGGAGACAATCGTACAGCTCGAACCTGAACCCCGGAAGCGGTGGTGAGCCGCAGATTATCGTCGAGGAAAGTACATTAGGAGAGGAAGCGGAATGGCGGAGAAACGAGTCACCTCCGCGATGCTTGGATCCAGATTCGCCATCCTTGAATCCTTATCTTCTATCCCCATGGAGAGAGACAAGGAAGCACTCTCTACCAACTCCACAATGTACTTCCGGGATAACCGCATCTCAGGTACTGTCTGATGATTATATCGGGAAGAACACATTTACGAACCACATCCCCTTTCACGATAATGTATTTTTAATGCATCTTTGTTAGGTCAGTGGAGTGTATCGTTGTATAATATACTCCTTAAGGTATTATATTTAAATAGTATCGTCTGATCTTGAAAAATCGTTTCGTTTACTTTGCTCAAGAAGGCTGCTCGAAGGTTTCACATTGCTTCTGATATTCATGGCTCGTGAAATAATGAAAGATCACGAAAATGAACTTGTAATATCTCTTCTCTTGAAGATTTATATATCTTTTTCTACATATTTAATTTGTTTATGTAAAGAATGAGTGGAACAAAATGATATGAAAAATCAGATTAACGAGGTTCTGCTACTTGAGAATGAAAAGATTTGTTGCGTATTTTGCATATTTTTATATTAAAATATTCCAAAAATAGAAATCACCAAAAACAAATTTGAAATCGATTGAATTGCGAATGATTCGATCTCTAACACCGTTCAATCTTCGAATAGCAAAGCTTGCGATTTTTTACCGTCGTCAGGACCAATCATCTATTTTTTTTTGTACGCGAGGAATATCTTCCAAAGATATCCGGTCCCCTAGGGAAGGGGACAGGTTTATGTGGGATTTTATACTCTGAAACCCCCACGGTGGTCGTCCTAGCTATGCTAGAGGAGCACCAGGAACTCGGAACGAACACAACTAGTGCTTCTTCTCCTAGGACTTATCGCATATCTTCATCATCTTGTCCGGGACCCTTGCACTTAATTATCGATGCGAAAGCCCTCAGCTGAAACGATTTCTATCAACAGGTGAGACGACTGAGCGAGCGTGGCGGTGAAGGATCAGGACCATCACCGCGTGAAGCTGCCTTTCTCGCTACCCTTTCTCAAGCTCCAGCTCCTCAGTCAGGTGGTAGAAGGCACTCTGTCGTAACGATCTCTAAAGTACCAGCAACTCTGTTCGGGCGTAATCGTCGCGAATCAATCGCAGCTTTTCCACCTGGAGGAGCGACTAGAATATTGCCAGGTCGCCGGGACTCTGAGTCCAGAATATCACCGAGCAATACCGGAAGCACGCACAATCTCCAGTTGGACATTATGGACGACATCGCGGATATAAAAGCTAGGAAGGTGAGAATCTTATACAACATTATTCAATAACGATACGAAAGCTATTTGAACCAAATCATATTTGCCTAATATACATCATAAATATCTCTATTATTATAAAGTCTCTCAAATACTAATCAAATACAAATATTACCCCAAATATCACATAGATGTAACAAATATGTACCAACCACTTTTATATCTTCATTTTCTCAATCTCTAAAACATAAAATAAATATCACAAAAGATGCAAATTAAGGACAAAATACATTTCAATTGAAAACCATTAATTTTCATGATCCGTTCATAGGTGCGTTTAAAGATGTACAAGACCTCAACAGAACAAGTATGCGAGATTCAGCCTTTAGAGGGAAACAGCTCCACTCAACGCTACACCCAGTATCAAAAACGACGATTCTCCGACATGCCTACTCCATCGGTGTCCCCGACATCTTCTCTGCGAAGACGAGCCTCGGAAGTACCGAGGGCCATAAGTGCTTCTGTTTCCGGTGCAGCGGGCATTGTGTGCTCTAATACCGATCTGATATCGATCTTGAGCTCGTTAACTTCTTCCGCGACAGAGATCAACCGATGCGGAGAAGAGGCCTCAAGTTCGCGAGAAGAGAGCAAATCGAGCTGGTCTGGTAAAACAGCTGAACAGAAACGAAGTCGGTTAAAAAGCTTCCGTTCGAACAGCTTCGACGTGTCGATCCTTCGCGGAGCTAAGAGCAAGCTAGCTGAATCATCGAAGGCTGCCGCTTCGAATATTATGGCGCCCTCAAATTGGTTCGCAAAGAGACATCAACCGATGTCGAAAAAACAGAAGCCAGAGGATTTAATAACGGCGAGCTTGAACTTTAAGTTCGATAAATTGAAGGTCGTGAAGGTGGTTAAGGAAACGTTGGGCAAGACGTCTCCTATCAGTGACATCAGACACAAGGTCGTGTGGGATGACACCAGCGGAACCAAAGTGGATGCTCAGGTCAGTAGAACTTTATTATTTATGACAATAATCACAAATATTTATAGTTCAACATTTTGTAGACCAATACCTTTTACTACCTATACCATTTTTGGCTAATTGAATTGCACTTTGATTGTTACCATGTAATTCTGTAGCCACGTACCCTTCAATCAACTCTTCCACTAGATGTTTCAACTACTGAATCTCTTTACAACAGTCAGCTATTGCTATAAATTCAGTTTCTGTTCTTGGCAAGGCGATCATCGGCTGTTTACGTGAGCTCCAATTCACTGCTCCTCCACCAAGCAGTATTATGTACATAGATGTGCTCTTACAGGTTTCTGAATCTGCTGCATAGTCTACATCACAGTATGCACAGAATTCTTAAACTCTCGACTGGTATATTCTTCTCCACTATCACATCTAAGTCAGGGTGCTTTTACATTGCACTTTGCTTTTGCTGCTGTAACATATTTTTTGCAATCTCTATAGTACTTTAGTATTTGATTTCATAAAATAGACTGTCATTACATATTTATTTCTGTCCTATGTTTCTGGCTCCTTAAGCCCACATATTTCTAGTTGCCCTTTTGCCCTTGTTCTTGTCTTTGCAAATGAGTCATTGATTGCTTTGCTTCATGGTCCAATGGTCCAATTTTCTACGCCATTACCAGCTTCTTGTTCCTCTCTACTAGTAATACTCTAGTCTGTATTTTTCCACTTAATTCATCCACACTATAAAGTACATTAATACACATCTTCCCTCTTAATATCTTCTCTTCAATCCTATAAACTATTACATTATGTTTACTGAATATTATCTTACTACTATTTTTAGTTACTAGATCTACTGACCTTAAATTCTGTCTGAAGTGTGAAACATGCAGAACATTTACATAACGCTATTTAACTCAGCTCTACCTTTCACTATAGTTTCTATGAGAATGTTTCTCTTTGCTGATTCAATTTCTGTTCCCATTTCTTCCTATTCTTAGAATATTCTAGCTTGTTCACCATATGGCTAGCTGTTCCTGAATCCAAAATCTCTTGTTTTCATCTATTGCTTTCTGTCAAGAAGAACACTTTCTTCTTTTCTTCTCGATCTCCTTTGCTTTCCTTCATGTTTTTAAAATAACAGTCCTTTTCCAAATAATTAGACTTCTTACATATAACACACAGAGAGTACACTCTTTAAGTTTCGTTTTTTCTTCCTAATCCTAGAAATTTATTTGATTTTTATCCTAATCTTTCAAAACTGAAATATTTAATTTCTTTGTTACCTTATTTGTTTGTCCAACATGTACTTGCAAAATGTCTAGTGGAGTTGGACTGGAAAAACCACTTCTCCTGGGATATGATGGCTACACATTCATTTTGATCGGCTTTTCCCTTACTTCCTTGGCAATTAGTTCAGTTTTGAGATTATCTATTTCCTTTTCTTCTTTCTGAGTTAACTCCCAGGCATTTGCAAATACACAATCTTGAAACATACATAAGATTTTAGTTATAAGTATTGTTTTTTCTATCTTACTCCCAAATGTATGTAATTTGAAAACTTATCTGTCTGACACGCAATGTGGGTTACAATATCATGTTCAAATTTATATTTATACAGGAAAAATTCCTCTGTAATAGAATATCTTTGCTGTTCTGTACTCTTCTCATAGATATTGCTGAATTTTACCCATATTTTATGACTTGATGTAAGGTTGATACACAAATTCCTCCCCTATGGTTGAAACTATCAGATTGTGTAACTAGACATTAACTTCCAGATACTTGTAAAATAGACGGTACCTGTGTAGCAATGTAGTTAAGATTTTAGTAATAAGTATTGTTCATTCTATCTTACGTCCTAATGCAAGTAATTTGAAAACTTACCTGTCAACCACATAATGTGCGTTACTGTATCATGTTCAAATTTAGATTTATGCATGAAAAATTCTTCTGTAACAGAATATCTTTGCCGCTCTGTATTCTTCTCATAGATAATGCTTAATTTTACCCATATATGATGACTTGACATACAGGTTGGTAGATCAAGTAATAATAAATCCCTATGGTTGAAAGTATTAGATTTTGTACCAACACGTTGTTTGTTAACCAATCCTGTTTGTACTTTTCTATATTTCTTGGTTCTTTCATTATATGTTCATACAAACCTTGAGACTACAGCATGAAAACCACTCTGAATTTCTAAATATGATATCCATCTTTTCAACTATTGATACTTAAAATTTCCTTCTCGAATTTTGTTTTCCGAACTCAAACACGTGGCCTACATTCTATTGGCAGTACATAACCAGTTGATTTATTCTTTTGCTCAAACATGCACAATTCTCACACATTCCTTTTTACATTACTCACCCCAGATCTCATTTGTTTCCATTACTCCCGCAATCCTTTGTCATTTTCTCCAGGTATAAATTCATTCGCTATTTACAATCGAAAATATCCATTATCCAATTATAATTGAATAATAGTATGATCAGATGCACATAACCAAAGTTAGTAATCGGGTCAATTTCAAGCGCCTTCGATCAGCGCCATCTATGATTTTGGACCAGATGACCGGAAGAGTAATAGGAACATAGAATGTGCAAGGAGGTCGTCTACACATGATCACGTGATAGACAAGGACAAGGAGCTGTTAGAAAAGGATAGAATGGATCGGGCAGAGAAAAATCGCAAATGACGCAATTTCTACGATTAATTTATGAACTTTTATAATTTTATCGTGAAGCTAGAACTATAGGCAAAATTCTTAATCACTTTTCTTTAATAATTTGTGCCTAATTACCTGGTTATTAATTATTGTTTGATGGCGGCCATGATATCCTAACGACGACCGTCACGAACTTCCATGAAAATATTTAATACTAAACGAAACTAGAAACAAAATATGAACAAAAGTGATATGTGAATATGCCCCAGGATATCGTTTATATAAAGCGTGCATGAAGTTCATAAATTGATTACACAGAAAATAGTAATTGAAGAAAAACCAATGGCGTCTTCGACAACAATTCAAACACACCGTAGAATATTCACTAATAATTAATTAAATAAGAAGAAATTTATATCAAAAGTTATATTAGAAAGTTCGCTAACGTTGCGCCTTTACGATAAAATTATAAAAGTTCATAAATTAAACGCAGAAATTGAGTAATTTGTCGATTATTCACAACGAAGCCATTTTATTCCTATTACTTTTCTGAGCTTCGGGTCCAAAATCATAGATGGCGCTGATCGACGGCGCTTAAATTTGAATCGGTTATTATCCTAATAAATTAATTCGGCAGTGGAAAATTAACAAATCCTACGTTTCAGTAATTAATTCATAAATTTTTAGAATTGCATTGCAAAGCTGAAGCTATAGGCGACATTATAATGCCATTTTCGAGAATAATTTGATGCTAATTACTTTCTTATTAATAATTATTTGAAAGCGTACGGGATTTCGTAACAACGAACGTTTCGATTTTTCGGAAAAATAATAAATAATGGACAAAACTACAAGTACTATACGAACAAAAATGTATGAGAAGTTGCCCAAAGATATCCTTTTTATAATGTGTGCAGACAATTTTTAAATTGATTGTATGAAAGATAATAATCGCGAATCCTCTGTGCAACATTCATTACAAATTAATTAATTAAAAAGGAATTAATTTATCCAGAATTACGAAAGGGGTCAAATGCATAAAAGAAATAAATATATATAATTACCTTCCTATCTGTATGAAATCAATAGTAACTTTTGATAGAACAACTATAAATTTGCAATATCTTATGCATGAGACCAATTTAGTAATTCCAGTATTGAAATGAACAAAACTCTTAGTACAAAGATTATGCTGTATCATTTATTCAATTATATTGTCAATACAAATCTTAATCTGTAATATTCATTGCGTAATTCTTGCACAGTTTACTTTCCTTGAAACGAATCTGCAAACAAAATTGCTCTATTACTCTCAGATGTCGAAGAATATTAGTTTCTCAAAAAACGTGTAATTCACATGTGAGATCTTTCTCCTACTCACTTTCTATATGCCGTTGTATTCATTGCTGTTGCAGAACTTTTATTCCATAGATAAGTTGCAAAGTATGCAGCCTCCATCCACAATTTCTTTTCCATTTCAGTCGAACAGGAATTCTCCTGTTTTATTCAATAATGTTCGATTAAGTCTTTCTATTTAGTTGAGACGTGTACAGAGTCGGATAATCCAGCATAATTACTTTCTGTCTGCACCAATTCTTGAATTCTCGTCTGGTAAACTCCTGTTTCCGTTTACGCATCTAAATCTGTATGTTATTCCACTTTGCTCCTACTGCTGTAACATACTTATACAATTTTTGTCATGCATCAGTATATGATTGCATAAGATGAATCCTCACAAAATTAGTAAAATCTAAGACTATCATCACATACCTATTTCTGTTCCATGTTTCCAGTTCCATCGGCCCACACATATATCAGAACGATTTTTTCCAAATAATTGGACTTCTTACATGTCCCACGTGGAGAGTATATGTCTTAAACCTCGTCTTTTCTTCTTAATCCTAGAAATTTTATTGATTTTTATTCTAATCTGCCACAGCTGTAATATTTAATTTCTTTGTTACCTTTGTTGTTTTTCCAACATGCATATGCACGATGTCTAATGGAATTGTACTTGAAACATCTCTCCTCTTGAGATTTGAAGGATACAGACCTGCTTTTGCCCTTGCTTCCTCTGCAATCAGTTCAGTTTTGAAATTATCTATTCCCTTTTCTTCTTTCTGCATTAACTCCCAGGCATTTACAATTACACGTTCTAGAAACATATATAAGATTTCAGTTATAAGCATTGTTTTTTCTATCTTACACCCTAACGTATGTAATTTGAAAACTTACCGGTCTGACACGCAATGTGGATTATAATATCACGTTCAAATTTATATTTATGAGTAAAAAATTCCTCTGTAACGGAATATCTTTGCTGTTCTTATCCTTCTCATAGATATTGCTGAAT